CAGGGCTGGACCAGGCTGAAGCCAGGAGCCAGGAGCTTCTTCTAGGTCTCCCATGTGGGTATCAGGGGCCCAAGTACTTGGAATATCTTCTGCTTTTCCCAGGCCATTAGTAGAGAGCTGGATGGGAAGTGGAGCAGCTGGGACATGAACCAGCACCCATATGGGATGCCAGTATTGTGGGTAGCACCTTTACCTGCTACTATCCAGTTTACATTCTATTTGGCTCCTTGAATCTAAAGATAGATTTTTTTTTATCATTAGAAGTTCTGTTTGAGGGGCCAGCATTGTGTTGTAGCGGGTGAAGCCCCAGCCTGACACCGGTGTCCCATATGAGTGCCCTTTTGAGTTCCAGCTGTTCCGCTTCCAATCCAGTTCCCTGCTAAAGATCTGGGAAAAGCAGCGGAAGATGATTCAAATTCTTGGGCCCCTGCTACCCATGAAGGAGACCTGCATGGAGCTACTGGCCCAACCCTGGCAATTTCGGCTGTCTGGGGAGCAAACCAGCAGATGGAAGATCTTTCTGTCTGCTTCTCCCTCTCTCTCTCTCTCTCTCTCTCTCTAGCTCTGACTTTCTTTTCTCTCTCTCTCTCTTTTTTTTTTTTTTAAAGATATTTATTTGATAGGTGGAGTTACATACAGTGAGATGGAGAGACAGAGAGCAAAAGGTCTTCCTTCCATTGGTTCACTCCCCAAATGGTCGCAACGGCTGGAACTGTGCCAATCCGAAGCCAGGAACTTCTTCCTGGTCTCCCATGTGGGTGCAGGGGCCCAAGGACCTGGGCCATCTTCTACTGCTTTCCCAGGCCATAGCAGAGAGCTGGATTGGAAGAGGAGCATCTGGGACCAGAACCGGTGCCCATATGGGATGCTGGTGCCACAAGCAGAAGATTAACCTACTGCGCCATGGCACTGGCCCCTCTGACTTTCAAATAAATAAATATTAGAAGACAAAAAAAAAAAAAAACTTTGGTTCTTTGCCCCAGTTATCTGAGCTTTTTTGTTGACTGTTTGTGGAAAATGTCAAGCATGTCTAATGAACATCTAAATGATGTATGCATCATTTAGATTAAACCTTGTTTAATGTCTATACCTTCTTCTCCCCAAGGTTATTTTGAAGCCAGTTCCAAACATAACATTTCATCTATAAATATTTTAGCACATAGCTTCAGAAGATAAGAATTATTTTAAAAGCATAATCATGTGGGCAGGCATTGTGTGCACTGGGTGAAATTGCTGCTTGGGGGGCTGGCACCGTAGCTCACTTGGTTAATTCTCTGCCTGTTGCACTGGCATCCCATATGGGTGCCGGGTTCTAGTCCCAGTTGCTCCTCTTCTGGTCCAGCTCTCTGCTGTGGCCCAGGAGGGCAATGAAGGATGGCTCAAGTGCTTGGGCCCCTGCACCTGCATGGGAGACTGGGAAGAAGCACTTGGCTCTTGGCTTTGGATCGGCGCAGTGTGCCGGCCGTAGCAGCCATTTGGTTGGTGAACCAATGGAGGGAAGACCTTTCTCTGTCTCTCTCACTGTCTAACTCTGCCTAATAAAAAAAAAAAAAAAAGAAAGAAAGAAAAGAAAAGAAAAGAAAAAAGAAAAGAAAAGAAAAGAAAAGAAATTACTGCTTGGCACGTCTTTGCCAGTTTGAGCCCCGGCTACTCCACTTCCCATCTAGCTCTCTGCTAATGTCCTAAAAAGCAGCAGATGATGGCTTTAGCACTCGAGTTCCCGCCATCCATGTGGGTGACCCAAATGGAGTTCCTGTCTCCTGGCTTTGACCTGGCCCAGCCCCTGCTGTTGTGGCCCTTTTGGGGGTGAACCAGCAGATAGAAAGTCTCTCTCAGTCTTGCACACAACCACAAATCCATTATCTCACTTAATTTGTGAAAGATTTCAATTGTGTAGTATATATAACAGAACGTTTTATGTTAACCATTTTACGTGTACAGTTCAGTAGCAGTAGGTGTATTCACATTGTTGTACAACTCACTGCTATCTATCACCAGAACTTTTTTTTGTCTTATAAAACTGAAACTCAGTACCCATTAAACAACTCTCATCTCTCCCTAGCCACTGGAAACCACCATTCTACTTTCTGTGTTTGTGGATTTGGCTGCTCTGGGTACCTCCTCTGGATGGAATCAGGCAGGATGTTCTTTTGTGTCTAACTTATTTCAGTTAGCAAAATGTCCTCAAGATTGTCCATGTTGTGGCATGTGTTGATTTCCTTTTTTAGGGCTGAATACTGCATTTTATGGGTCTAGCACATTTGTAATCCTTTCATCAGTGGATGCACACTTGGATTGCTTTTACCTTTAAGTAGTAATTCTGTTTTTTTTTTTTTTTTATTTTAAAGATCTATTTATTTATTTGAAGGCAGAACGATAGAGAGGCAGAAGCAGAGAGATCTTCCATCTGCTGGGGTATAGGGGGGTCCTCCATCCACTGGCTCACCTCCCAGTTGGCTGTAATAGCCGGAGCTGGGCTGATCAGGAGCCAGGAGCTTCCTCTGGGTCTCCCATGTAGGGGCAGGGGCCCAAGGACCTGGCAGCTCCACTTCCAATCTAATTCTCTGCTATGGCCTGGGAAAACAGTGGAAGATGCCCTAAGTGCTTGGGCCTTTGCACCCAAATAGGAGACCCAGAAGAAGCTCCTGGCTCCTAGCTTCTGAGCAACCCAGCTCTGGCTATTGCGGCCGTTTGCGGGGGGGAAGGGGGTGGAACCAGCGGATGGAAGACTCTCTGTCTCTCTCTGCCTCTCTGTGACTGTGCCTTTCAATTAAGTAAATAAATCTTAAGAAAAAAAAAATCCTTTTGCAAGAACTCCTAGTGTCCTAGGGACCTCCCACTAGGGCTGCCTCCCAAACAGCATAATTGGTTAAGCATCCACCCGCCCCACCCCAATACCGTTAAGTTTTGACTTTGGGTTTAAATATCCGCATTAGCTCAGGAACCAAGTCATGTTCAAACTATGGCAGGAACATTAGGTTGTTTACAGTCTTTATTAAAATAAGATTGCAGTGGCCGGCGCCGCAGCTCAATAGGCTAATCCTCCGCCTTGTGGCGCTGGCACACCGGGTTCCAGTCCCGGTCAGAGTGCCGGATTCTGTCCCGGTTGCCCCTCTTCCAGGCCAGCTCTCTGCTGTGGCCCGGGAGTGCAGTGGAGGATGGCCCAAGTGCTTGGGCCCTGCACCCGCATGGGAGACCAGGAGAAGCACCTGGCTCCTGCCTTTGCATCAGCGCGGTCCGCCGGCTGCAGCGGCCATTGGAGGGTCAACCAACGGCAAAAGGAAGACCTTTCTCTCTGTCTCTCTCACTGTCCACTCTGCCTGTCAAAATAATAATAATAAGATTGCAGTAAGCTCATATAAATCGTGCTCTTACTTTTGGCTAGTATTTCTGTAGGATTGATTTCTTTAATTGGGATTCCTGGTTGATGAAATTTTGATGAAGTGCTGCCAGATTGCCCTCAATAGGCTATATAGTTTATCCTTGCCTAGTAGTGACTGGGAATATTCATTCTCCTGTACTTTCTTTTTGACACGAGCTATTGATCTTTTTAATTTTGTTATTCTAAAAAGAAAATTCATATTTATTTGAGTACTGTTGGTTGTAGTTATTAGTAAGGGTAAACATAGTCATGTATTAGACTCTTGAAAACTGCTTGTTGATATCTTCGGTCCCTTTTTCTGTTGAATTGTTTGTCTTGCTGCTATGCTTTCATATTGATGTATTAGCATGTGGCATATGTTTTAAACATCTTCCTGGCTAATTTTCAGTGCTGCCTTTATCAACAAACCATGATACGTTTCTGCATCTTTTCAGATCTTCAAACATGTCAGTAAATTTTTGTAGTTTCGTTCTTATTTGTTTTTCATTTTTCTTAAGCTTATTCCTAGCTATTGAATAATTTTTGTTACTGGTTAATAGGGTCTTTTTTTTTTTTTTTTTTGACAGAGTGGACAGTGAGTGAGAGAGACAGAGAGAAAGGTCTTCCTTTTTTTTTGCCGTTGGTTCACCCTCCAATGGCCGCCGCGGCTGGTGTGCTGCAGCCAGCGCATCGTGCTGATCCGAAGCCAGGAGCCAGGTGCTTCTCCTGGTCTCCCATGGGGTGCAGGGCCCAAGCACTCGGCCATCCTCCACTGCACTCCCTGGCCACAGCAGAGAGCTGGCCTGGAAGAGGGGCAACCGGGACAGAATCCGGCACCCTGACCGGGACTAGAACCCGGTGTGCCGGCGCCGCTAGGCGGAGGATTAGCCTATTGAGCCACGGCGCCGGCCAATAGGGTCTTTTAAGATTATTATTTTTCGGGGCCAGCACTGTGGCATAGCAGGTGAAACCACCACCTGCAATGCTGGCATCCTGTATGGGCGCTGGTTTGAGTTCCAGCTACTCCACTTCTGATCCAGCTCACTGCTATAGCGTGGGAAAGCAGGAAAGGATGGCCCAGATGCTTGGGCCCCTGCACCTGCATGGGAGACTCAGAAGAGGCTCCTGGCTCCTGGCTTCTGATCAGCCCAGCTCTGGCCATTGAGGCTATCTTGGGAGTGGACCGCAGATAGAAGATCTCTCTGTTTGCCTCTGCCTCTGCCTCTCTCTAACTCTGCCTTTCAAATTAATGAATAAATCTTTTTTAAAAATTATTATTTTTCATTTTGTTTTAATAGCAAGCCAACTGTTTTCTTTACATATCTTTTACATGCCTACTTAACTCTCTGTTAAGTTTTCTGTGTTCTTTTTCCTGCAAGGTTGTCTGTAGTTACCTTTGTTTTGAAAGCAAGGGAGTTATTTTTCCTTCTCCTTTCTATACCAAATATTTTGTTTTTAAGCCTCTGGCCATGGGCTTATGCTGCTGGGGCATAGCTGAGTAGCAGTGTAGTCTTTGTAACCACTACAAATAACCTTGTTATTTTCTTCTAATGCCAAAGTCCAAATCCCAGATGATCTTTTGAATGTAGGTTGTTCACAGATTGCAGACTGTCTTTAATCTACTGGATCTGAATTTTAGGAACGTGAGGATCATCCCCGGAGAGGACGGGAGGATCGGCAGCACCGTGAATCATCGGAACAGGAACACAGGAGATCTAGGAACAGTGACCGAGACAGACACCGGGGCCATTCACGCCAAAGGAGGAGCTCCGCCGAGAGGCCTGGAAGTGCACAGGCTCAGGGACGGGACCGAGACCTTCAGACCCTGCAGGCTCAGGAAGAAGAGCGGGAGTTCTACAACGCCAGGCGTCGTGAGCATCGCCAGAAGAATGAAGTCAGTGCAGGTGGTAATGAGTCACAGGAGCTGGGTCCCCGGCCTGCTGGCAAGAAAGAAAAAGTGGTGCCTGTTAAAGAAAAACCAAGCTTCGAACTTTCTGGAGCACTTCTTGAGGACACCAACACCTTCCGGGGTGTCGTTATTAAATACAGTGAGCCCCCAGAAGCACGTATCCCCAAAAAGCGGTGGCGCCTCTACCCCTTTAAAAACGATGAGGTACTTCCCGTCATGTACATCCATCGACAGAGCGCTTACCTTCTGGGGCGACACCGCCGCATCGCCGACATTCCGATCGATCATCCGTCGTGTTCCAAGCAGCACGCCGTCTTTCAGTATCGGTAGGTATACAGGTGAAGGGAGAATGGAAGGGCCAGGAGAAGCGGAAGGGCTCAGCTCATTAGGATGACTGAGATTTGCATTCATGTGTCCGGGGAACCCATACCCTGTGTCTAATGCTAGTCTTAAGGAGCATTGTAAACCTACCTGTCCTTTGAATAGCCACTTATGATTGTAGGAGCATTGAACCCTGTGTCAGGAGACTAGACTTTGAATCCTGTGCCTGTACCTCAGTAAATACTTGCCCAATGACAAGCCATTCCCTCAGCCTCGGTGTCCACCCACCCCATGTGCTGTCAAGATGGCTAAATATAATAAAAATGGCTGGCTTAACTGTTAGCCACTTCTGGATCTTGCAGCTTGCATAGTACATCTGTAATCTGTACTTTAAAATGATCCTGAGAGGAAGATAAGTCAGGTATTAATGTCCCCATTTGACAGATGAGAAGACTGAAGCTCAGCAGAGCCTAATAAATGATTGCCATAGCAGAACTCTAATGCAGTTTCTAGCTCCGTACCTCTGAAGTTCAAGTCCACTGTGTTTTACTATTTGGATGGGAACTGAAATATATTAAAGTGTCAGTGAAAGTATTTTATTCATTATACAACAGAAAATGTTTTTTTCTACTAGGTACTATTAGGAAGGCACTTTAAAAAGTTTGTGGAAAAAGAATTTGGCATATAAACAGTTTGTTTCATAACACATGGGAAATGCGTATTATGAAAAAACCATGTGTGGATTTCAAAATTGTTTTTGCCCTAAAATAAACTCATACATTTAAAGTTCATTTTCTCATGAACTTTTTGAAGTACCTACATATTTAAAGTGCTCCCAATATCCCTGTGCAATGCTTGCCTTTCCCTAGGTTTCTTGATCTTCCGGAGTTGTAACTTGAATCGTGTTCAAGCCAGGTTATTTACGTCATCTGGGCAGTGTGAGCAAAGGGCTCTAGAGAGACTGGATGATGTGAGGCAAAATTTTCCTCACGGGTTTCTCTTCTTTTCTCTGCTAGGCTTGTGGAATACACCCGTGCTGATGGCACAGTTGGCCGAAGGGTAAGGCCATACATCATTGACCTTGGCTCAGGCAATGGAACCTTCTTGAACAACAAGCGTATTGAGCCACAGAGATACTATGAACTGAAGGAAAAGGATGTACTTAAATTTGGGTTCAGTAGCAGAGAGTATGTTTTGCTCCATGAGTCATCGGATACCTCTGAACTAGACAGGAAAGAAGACGAGGATGAGGAGGAGGAGGAAGAAGCCGTTTCCGACAGCTAGCAAACTAAGAAACAACCCAAGCTAAAAAGACTCCTTTTCCTTCGTGGAAGGCGTTTGGATTGACTCAGAGAGCACTGTGGTGCACTCCGTAATGCCTCTTGTTGCCTTAAGTCTTTACTCTGTTGCTGGCCAGCTTATGTTCAAGTGTAAGGACACTGACTTGGGTTTTGATGAACTTTCCTCTGGCACCTCAGCCACAAGCCTGTGGGCATTTGTTTTCAGAACAGTCTCACCGATTAAAACACCATGTTTTGGTAGAAGCGTTGTGGCTTTAGTTGGTGCTGCCTTGGAAATGAAACCCTTGGCTAGAGGGGAATCTCAGCTTGTTCTTTTTGTACAGGTACTTTATTTATACAGTGGTGAAGCTTCGTGGGCCAGGTGTTTCTGTTCCTGAGCAGTGACTCTTAGTGAGCTTTGGTTATCACAGCAGCCTCCATGTGCACCAAAGCTTTGACCTGGTTGAGCTCTTGAGTCATAGAAGTTTATTTTGCACTTAGTTTTTTGGGGGTGGGAATCTACCACATGACCTCATTCCTGGCTGTCAAACAAATGCTTCATGGCCCCTGCTTAAGTGTAGGACTGTCTAGGAAGATCATGGCTGCTACCAGCGGGTGCTGGTTTAAGAACATGTGAGGCTGGAATGGGTTGTGGATCCATTTCCTTTGAGGGAATTCCTGATTTCCCCATGGAACGTGTACATAACAATTTTGATCATCTTTTCTGTTCTCCAGGTTTGTGTTTTTATTCAATTGTTACCTCTTTGTTTTTTCTTCTTTGAGAAAGAATTTACGCCATTTATGTGGCAGGGCCCTTGCTTTATTCTAACAATGTGTATGTATTTCTGAAGGAGGGTGTGTAGCCTCCATGTTTCTACACATTTTAAAAAGTCACTCAGAGAGGTGGTATCTGCCTTCCCGAGACTGGAAAGCAAGAGGAATGCCCGATTTCCTGATTTCCCACCAGAGGAATACGTGTGAGTAGAGAAGTATTGACTGCTTACATACAGTGTGTATGTGTGTGTATATATAATATATATATATATAAATTGTGCGTTAAAGAGCTGCGTACTGATTTTCATATGACAAGGTTTTGTGATAAAATGTAATACCACATGATAGGCAAAGGACTTCCTGCATTTGAAGAGCAGGTTTTCATTTATATGTATTTTTGGGATAAAAAATAATAAAATTTGTAAATATAGCCCCATTTCAAAGGGTAATACTTTCCCAGCATAGCGGTCTGTTGGCTGCTAACAGAGTCTCTCAGTGTTTTTAAGGTCAAAGCAGGCAGCGTGTAGGTGTCCTGGGCAGAGACCCAGGAACAGTGAAGATGGGACGTCCAGCCGCACCGGAGCCTGGATCCTCCCGGGTCCTCCGGTGACGCAGCAGTGCTTTCTGAGGTGACTGTGCAGGGCTTCCTCCCGGGACGGGGCTCTGCCTCCATACAGAGTTGGCCTTCACGCCAGTGCAGCACCCGGCCACGCCGTTTCATCCTGGGACGCGGGGCCGGGCCGGGGGAGGATGATGCAGCTCCAGTCAGTGCTGCTACGAACTCTTCCTCCTGGCCTGAAACTTCCAATGCTTTCAAATTAGAATCTCATCCTTTACCTTGTTCTTATGTTGTGGTCTCACATATTCATGTGCTCAGGGCTAAAGGTTGGCTGGTTTTGGGTGGGGTGGGAGGACCCGCTGACCAGTGTCCAGAATTAATTAAAAGATCCTCTTTGAGGAACGAACACCTCTTTTCGGTCGACTAGATGAAAAATAAGATCAGGGGACACTACAGCCAGCACTTACAGTCTCCCACGTGGGTGCAAGGGCCCAAGGACATGGGCCATCTTCCACTGCTTTCCCAGGCTGTAGCAGAGAGCTGAATGGGAAGAGGAGCAGCCGGGGCACAAACCGGTGCCCAGATGGGATGCTGTTGCCACAGATGGAGGCTTCACCTGCTAGGCCACAGTGCAGGCCCCCTGACCTTTTCTTCTTAAAGTAACTGTTTTAGCTGCTGATGTTCATATTAGCTATTAACAGCTTCTTCATTCTCTTCATCCACCTTGGCTGGCTGGTCTGCAGATCACTGCTGTTAGAATCAAGCGATGGGCAAAGTGGCCCTTTGCTTCTGAGCCCCTCCCCCAGTCCTCTGTTGTGGGCCACAGTTCTGCAGAGGTCTGGGACTAGATCTTTGATTTCCCCCCTTCATCATATTCTGGTCACTTCATTCTAACATTGACAAACCACAACTCACTAAATGAAACTGGTCATGTGACTTTCAAATACTGGTAATACATTAAAACAACTTATTAAGTGAGATAATGGAAGATTCAAAAAAATTTTTATTGAATATGCCAGGATATGTATTTGATTTTAAAAAGCTTAGAATTAAAATATTTATATATTTTTCCAGTTGATTATCATTTGATATGATACACAGATGTTTATATGTTTTTTTAAAGATTTATTTACTTATTTTAAAAGAAGGAGAGACAGAGAAATATTCCATCTGCTTGTTCACTCCCCAGATGGCTGAAATGTTCAGTGCTGGGCCAGACTGAAGCCAGGAGCCAGGAGCTTTATCTGGGTGGCAGGGTCCTAAACACTTGGGCCATCTTCTCTTTTCCCCAGGCCATTAGCAGCCTGCTCCACTTCCCAGGATCAGGAACAGGATCCCAACAGCTGGGACAGGAACTGATGTGGGACGCTCGCGTCCCAGGTGGCAGCTTTACCTGCTCAGCCACAATGCCGGCCCCACAGGTGGGTCTGTTTTTGAGGAATAAAATGTCATGGTCGTTAAATGCAACGTGACGCTGACACCATGCCATTGATGCTGCTTGTGAATTCTGTTCTGACCCCGTGTTCCTGCTGTATGAGTTTATCCAGTGAAAAGACTACTTGATTTAAATTAAAGTTTTGGAATTTAAAGCTTCCTTTGGTCTTTTGGGTAAAGCTTCTGGTGTATTTATCCAATGGGAAACTTTCTATTTTTTTAAAAATATTTATTTATTTGAAGGGCAGAGAGAGAGGGAGATCTTCATCTTCCAGTTCACCCCCAAATGTCTACAGCTTTCTGGGCCAGGCTGAAATCAGGAGCTGGGAACCCTGTCCAGGTTTCCCACGTGGGTGGCTGGGACTCAAATACTTGCACCATCATCCCCTCGCCCCAGGGTTAGCAGGAAGCTGGATCAGAAGCAGAGGTATGGCTTAATCCCAGGCACTCTGAGGTGCAGGCCTCCCAAGAAGCAGTTTAACTCCCCCCCTACAACACCTTCCCTAGGAAACTAATTTAAGACAACAGATTTGCTTACATTTGCACTAAAGATAAAATGAATGGATCCTATCAGCAGTGGCAGAAACAGTAGTGTGCTAGCAGCTGGTTGGCAGCTGTGAGAGGCGCAGCAGCACTGGGAGGAGGGCTCCACTCTGGAAGAGATGACTTTCGAGGGATGCCTGAGAGAACAGACTGATTCCGAACCGGTAGGAGAGGAGAGTGTTGTGCCAGACCGAACGGTTCAGAGAACAGCAGACTGGACTCAGTGGAAAGGGTCCTGTAAGATGACATTGTTTACCCAAAGTCCCACAGCAAGTCGGTGACAGGGCTGGGATGAGAAATCACCCCCGTCTCAGTTCAGTGGTCTAGCCCCTGGACTGTCCTACCTGCAAAGCTTAGTGGAGGGCCCAGGGAGAGGGAAAAGACAACCAATGCGTTAGGACGCCCAGTTCACAAAGGGTTCAAGGAAATAATAGTGAGTGAGGACTGTCATGGGTAGAGTGCGCCAGGCCAGTCCTCACCAGCTCACAGCCAGAGCTACTTGAAAATCGTGTTAGTAAAAGCACACAGATAACTCAGCACTTGAGTGCTGAAGAAGCGCCATGAACTGTTACTTCAATAATAAAACCAGCCAATACTGAGAAGCACTTTGTATGTAGCAGGCATAGCTCTGAGTGATCTCGTTTCATCCTCATAGCCCAATGAAACAGAAAACGAAAACTGAAACATACAGAAGTGAAGGTCACACATTGGTAGGCCGGACTGGGATTTAATTCTGATTGCAGATGCCATGTTCTTTTTAAGATTTATTATTGTGGCCGGTGCTGTGGCGTAATGGGTAAAGCTGCTGCCTGCAGTGCCAGCATCCCATATTGGTGCTGATTCAGGTCCTAGCTGCTCCACTTCCTGTCTGGCTCCCTGCTAATGCACCTGGAAAGGAAGTGCAAAATGGCCCAGGTGCTTGGGCCCCTGCACCCACGTGGGAAATCCAGAGGAAGCTCCTGGCTCCTGGCTTCAGATCAGCTCAGCTCTGTCAATGGTGGCCATTTGGTCAGTGAACTAGCAGATGGAAGACTTTAATCCCCCCCCCCCCCGCCTCTCTGTAACTCTTTCAAATGAATAAATTAATCTTTATTTTAAAAAAGATTTATTATTTATTTGAAAGGCAGAATTAGGGAGCAGGAGAGAGAGAGAGCACATCCATCCACTGGTTCACTCCCCAAATGGCTGCAGTGGCCAGGGCTGGGCCAGGTTGAAGCCGGGAGCCTGGAATTCCATCCAGGTCTCCCATGTGGTTGAGGGGCCCATGGCTTGGGCCGTTCTCTGCTGTGTCCCCAGGCAGATTAGCAGAGAGCTGGGTGGGAACTGGAGCAGCGAGGACTCGAACCAGCACCAATGTGAGATGCCTGTGTTGCAGGCGGTGCCTTTACCCCTGTACAACAGTGCTAAGCTCCCAGATGCCACATTGTCAACCACTGTACTCTGCCACTTACTGCAGTTTGAGATTACAAGGTCTGGCCCTTGCAGATCCATGCTCCCAGCAGCCACCGACACTGCTGTATAGGAGAGGTGTTGAGAGTTATGAAAGCACAAAGAAAATCAGGTAGGAAGGAGCAGGTGGTTCGAGGAGGCTGGGGGAGACCGGGAAAGAAAGGAGTGTTTCTAGGCTTGCAGGATGCCACTTGGAGATGCCTGGGTGATAACCTGGCAAAGCTCTGAGCACTTCAGTGTGGGAGTGGAGCTCTGCTGGTAATGGTGGACTGTTATTTGCTGAGCCTTCCTGCTGAAAACAGCTGAAACACCCAGATAAAAATAACAGACATCTCTCAGGGCATCCAAAAACTGGCAATTTAGTAAAAAAATTACCAGCCACGAGAAAAGCACCACAAAAATCCAGAAAGAAATGAAGAATACATTTGGTTCTGGCAAATCAGACCTTACTCTGGGTTGGATGAGACAGAAGTGAAAACCCAGAGCCCAGAGAGGAATCCAGTAGTAGCAGGTATTTCCCAGGGAAAGGAACAAACCTTTCAGAGTGAAGAGTGGATTGCATGTCGAACCGTCCCAGGGATCTGTGGCCTGGAACATGAACCTTAGCCCTGAACTGTTAGTGTCTCTAGGTCTGCTAAAAAAACTAAGCTAAAATTATTTTCTGGAGGAAGGAAATTTTTAAAATTACCTTTACAAGTATTTTTTTTTAAAGATTTATTTATTTACTTGAAAGAGTTACACAGAGGAGAGGCAGAGAGAGAGAGAGATCTTCCATCCGCTGGTTCACTCCCCAGATGGCCACAACAGCTGGAGTTGTGCCTCTCCAAAGCCAGGAGCCACAAGCTTCTTCCTGATCTCCCATGCAGGTGCAGGGGCCTAAGGCCTCTGGCCATCTTCTACTGCTTTCCCAGGCCATAGCAGAAAGCTGGATTGGAAGAGGGGCAGCCAGGACTCAATCTGGTGCCCATATGGGATGCCAGTGCTTCAGGCCAGGGTGTTAACCTGCTGCGCCACAGTGCTGGCCCTTCAAGTATTTCTGTGTTCTTCCCCTGAAAGATAGGATTTTATTTCTGAAGCACACAAGAAATTAAGGGCCGGCGCTGTGGCTCAATAGGCTAATCCTCCACCTAGCGGCACTGGCACACCGGGTTCTAGTCCCATTCGGGGCGCTGGATTCTTTCCCGGTTGCCCCTCTTCCAGGCCAGCTCTCTGCTGTGGCCAGGGAGTGCAGTGGAGGATGGCCCAAGTGCTTGGGCCCTGCGCCCCATGGGAGACCAGGATAAGCACCTGGCTCCTGCCTTCGGATCAGCGTGGTGCGCCGGCCGCAGCGCACTAGCTGTGGCGGCCATTGGAGGGTGAACCAACGGCAAAAGGAAGACCTTTCTCTTTCTCTCTCTCTCTCACTATCCACTCTGCCTGTCAAAATAAATAAATAAATAAAATAA